GTTCTTTTTTTACCTTGTTCACATCTTTCTCCCATGAAACCAACTTTACACATTAAGCAAATGTATCTCTTGTTGGTAAACCCATTGACGCAGGTCATATTTTGAGGACAAGGCTTGCTGGAGCACGTATTCTACATGGACAGATTTATTTTTAGTAACATTTTTATCAAGAAAAATAAATAAATAAACATCATCGGGTAAAATCTATTTGTTCCGCACCTTTGAAGCCCAATAAAAATATCCTTCTTGGGGTTTAAGGTCATCAGGATGCTGGGTGTGATCAGAATCACTCAGTTGACACACCCTTAGGCCATTCTTGTCAGGTGGACCAATGTTCACGGACACACAGGAGTTTTCCATGAGGCACCTATTTTTGCAGTCACTATAAGGCTCAATTCCCATGGTTAAATAAATTTCTTTAAAAACGTGACGTTGAAAAGCTTGTCCTTCAAAGGATTTCAGAAACATAAGACTTCGGCAACCACGGTCTGCAAGGGATTTGCAAGATAAATGATGACAAGTGTCATTAACTTTTTGTAACAGTAAATTCTTTAAAATTAGTGACATAAATTTCGAGCATATATCATCAAAACGCCTAAATCACGCACGAAATTAAGAGAATCTGAATGGTACATAACCATCCTGATGCTTGAGTAGCTAGCGATTCAGTGATTTCTTTGGTAACCAAGAATTGAGACGATTTGTCTTTCTCGATGAGTATAAAAATTTACGCAGGAAGAGGGAGTTTTTGAATTAAGCAAAACAAGCTACTTATTTCCACTAAATATATGAAATATATGTCTGTACAATAGACCCCTAAGTGATTGAAAATTCGTTTCAAAAAGTGAAGTAAATATCGCTCTTTGGTTGGCATCATTTTTTCTCTAAAACTAACAAAATATTCAATACCTCTCTGACAAAGAAATTTGGAACAAGAGCGTAATGAAAACATCAACAACAAATTTTCATTGCGTTTTTTTTTCGCCTAATTTCGAGCAGCTGAAAATTAATCGAGTTTCGTAACTTTTCCAAAAATCATTGACTGGGGTGAATTTTTATTAATATTCCTACTTCTTTTAGTTGAATAGCTAAATTGCAGGCGACCTTACAAGAGATACAATAAGAACTTTTAAAAATAGAAAATAAGTAAAAATTCCAAATTAATTTAGTCTTCAAATTAGGCAGAGTAAGGTTAGCATTGAAATAAAAGTCAAACACAGAGATGAATGTTCAAAAAGTGCGTAGTCTTTCCCCTTAAGGAAATCTGATATAACATTTCTTTAAACATGTAAGAATTTTATGTCTGCCCTATGCCAGGAGATAATTTAGTGCAATACTGAATCAAAGTTGGCTAAGATTTAAAGAACAGAAAAAAGTATAACTTCCTACCTTTATTTCCTTCCATGGAGCAGTGAAGCCATGCTCGTAACGGAGCACACAATAACAACAGAGATAAAAATAGAAAATTGTTCCTTTCCATTGGTCGCTAGTGACAAGTTTTGGATCTCACATCCAAAGGCAAGCACGAAATTCCATGCATTATCAATGTTTCCCAACTCTTAGAAATATCCAGCACTGAAAAATTGGACTTCCAGGCCGTCGACCAAATATTTTCACAGTTTTGTTTAACCAGAGAATGATAATGTTAATTTTTAACCTGCGACAGATCCGTAAAGAAGATCAGCGGAGCTGGGCTTCGGGTGAGAAAACTGCTGCTTGCCATGCATTCAGACACCTATTTATTGCATGATTTAACTTAATTCTTACATTCGACCAATAGCAAAACGTCTTCTAAAACTGGTCATAACACGCGAAAATTCAAACAGTTTGATGACAAACGCAAAGCAAACGCAATTGTTGAAAGGCTAAGGTATTCCGGCAGAAAGGCCCGAAATAACAACAAATATCTGAGTTTTAATTCAGAGTTTTTAATAGAGATTATAGTTTCGAGAAATAACTGCCCATTACACTTGAAATGAATGCTGAGTTGCATTAAAATTATATATTTTTGACTAAGCAGCATTCCCTGTCTAACGGAAACAAAACAATTCTGAAAAATTTGAATTAAAACAGAAGCTCACTCAGCATGCTTTACTTCCAGTCTTTGAATGGATTATGTAATCTCATTTTGCAGGAAACCTTTGGGAAGTACA